TTTCCCATCCATAAATCATCATATACAATAGTTTTTGTTGTTGATGTTGATGTTGTTGTTGATGTTGTTGTTGATGTTAGATGTTTTTTGTTGATGTTGTTGTTGACGTTGTTGTTGATGATGTTTTTGTTGATGTTGTTGATGTTGGTGTTGTTGTTGTTGTTAGTGTTGTTTTCAAGGCTTGTAACAATGTTGTTGTTGTTGTTGCTGCTGCTAACGTCGTCGTTGTTATCGTTGTTGCACTTGTTATAAGTTAGGTTATTCTTTTTGGATGTTTTGTTGTTAATGTGGTCGTAAAGAAGTTAGCAAACATTTAACATATGCAGGCTAACATTCGCTCTTGTTTAATCGCGCATTATGTGAATGTTTAGTTATGATATTTTCTGATGGTGATGATGGTTTTAAGATTAAGATTGTTTTTCGCTGGATCAACAATCGCATCAATAACATTAACGAGAATACTAATAAAAACAGCAACAACAGTAAACAACAGCAACAACAAACAACAACACCAGCAACAACAACAAACAACAACAACAATATCAAACAAAAACAACAACAACATCACACAACAACAAAAACATATTTCTCCAACAATATTACCTCTCTCTAACTAATAACATGCCAGCTCTTTCTCACTTGTCATTCATTATTTTTCATTTTTTTACCTTTTTTCCATTTTGTTCTTTCATTTAAACATTGCTGTGATTTATTGGTTCAATAATTGCCTGCAGCGTGTGATACCGTATCTGGTACATAATGAAATATAGATATATATAGATATAGATGGATAGATTTCGACTGAGAATATATAAAAAAGTATAAAAAATATCAGCTATATATAGTAAAATTATGATTTAAAATTATCACTAATCACCAGAAAATTTTATACCAAGATGTTTTGGTGAAGAAGAACAGTTTTTTTTGGTGTATCGATTTTTGATTTTTTCACTGAAATCAGACAAAGCTTTGTTGCTTTTCAAAGAAGTTGCCATAATTTGCGACCAAAATTTAAAAATGTACGTAGAGAAATGACTTTAATCTCCATAGAAATGTCTATTGTTTGCTGGTGGACTTCAGC